ATTAAAGCCTTGGAAACCCTGTGGGGCAGTTCTACTCTGTCCTATAGGGTTGGTGTGAGTTGGAATTGAACTCAATAACAATGGGTTTGGGTGTCTTGGAGTCACTCTCAGAAATTTCGACTTAAATGAACAAGGAATGGTCCACTGGTATTTTATTTAAAAAAAAAGTCATAGCTAATTCTGAAGAGCGGTCAAGGTTGAGACCCTCTGTATTGTAACTGAGAGATACCTGAGAGCGTGCAGATAGAATTATATTGACCTTGTCCATCCCTTGGCTGCCATCTGCCAAGCCAGAACCAACTTCCTAAGCTGTGGGAATTTTCTAATCGGCAACCTTGGAGCGTATGAATGTGTGTGTGCGTTAGATCAATATCCATAGCATTGGGTGTAAGAAGAAACTTCCTATGAGTCCTGTTAACCCAAGTTTTGTGTAACATAGTGATGTAACAGAACTGAGAGGTCCAAGAGTAAGAAGTGGCCGAAGTCCTTAACAGTAAAACTGAAAACCAGTATTATTATTTGATGGGGGAACATTTCCCACCTGGTCTCTCCCTGCCTCTTTCAGAAGCTCGCCCTGTGAGTTGATATCTAGTTCTCACATCCCCTGCAGCAATACTGGCTGGCTAGTATTTTAATTTGACTCTCAGAATTCAGCCTTGGGTGATTTTTAGAGGAAAGAAGATTGCAAAGAAATGAGATTAGCCTCAGAAGAAAAGTGGGATAGAGAGATGATATGTCAGGCCACAGGACTAATTTAAATGTGCTGCCCGCTGAGTCAGATCTAGATGGTCAGCCTCCAAAAAAAAAAAAGATCTTAAAACATAATAAGCCTGGTGATAGATAAAAGAAGAAAAGGAGAGAAAGACTGTGGCACATTTAGCAACACCACCATCCCAGGTTGTTGTTAAAGCAGAATATATTTTTATAAATGTATAATTATCCTCACAAGCCTCATATTCACAGGGGAGCCCAGATGTTCTATTATTTTGGTTTGGAAGACCTGAAGGTTAGAACACTATTAAAGAGCTCCTCCATAGAGGCCTCCAGCTCCGTTGCTGATTGAATACTCACTATGTGACCAGTGAGAAGAAGTTCAGAGAGTGGTTAAGAGCAAGATTCTGACCCAGCCTATCTGGGTTCAGATTTCACCTCTACCACTTACCAGTTTGCTCATGTTACATAACTTTTCTGTGACTCCTTATCTATAAGGATGGGGGCAGTAAAAGGGGTTAATAGGAAAATTAAGTGAACTAATACATAGGTACAAGGAACCCAAATTAAGTGCTCAGCTGCTAACCGAAAGGTTGGTGGTTCCAACCCACCCAGCAGCTCTGCAGAAGAAAGACCTGGCAATCTGCTTCCATAAAGATTTACAGCCAAGAAAATACTATGGGGCAATTCTACTGTAATGGGAGATCACTGTGAGTCAGGATAGACTCAATGGCACCCAATAACAACAATAATACATAGGTACAGTGCTTGGCACAGTGTCTGCTAAGGATAAGTGCTCAATGGATGTTAGGTAGTAGCTCTTTGGAGTCAAGGTTCTAAAGAGTCAAGACAAATGAGCTTTCTCCTTTGCACTCAGTAATTTATTACTTAATTATTTTTCTTAAATTAGTAATACTCCCTTCGCCCACAAAGCCACCTCATAGCAAACAATCTTCCTGGAAAATGTGGGCTTTTAAATGAAAGTGGGAATGAACTTGGCAGATTTCCCGGCAAGGTTTCCCAAATTTCTCAATAGTTAGAATTACCTGGAGCCAAGACTCCTTCCAGGGGCACCAGCTACTTAGAACCAAGGCTTCAAATCGGTTCATGCTGGTTTGAACCCCTGCTAGAAGTTGCATTTCCACCCCAGATGTACTGAATCAGAATCTACATTTTAACAAGATCCCCAGGTGATTTTTATGTATTTGAGTTTTGAGAACCATTGCTCTACTAGTGCTTCTCAGAATTGGTCCCTAACCAGCAGTATTAGCATTGCCTGGGAACTTGTTAGAAATGCAAATTCTCAGTGGGGTTCAAACAGAAAGAACCAGTTTGAAGCCCTGCTCTGGTCATTTGGAGTAAATGGTGTCACAGAGGGTCATAGATAATCTATTTACGGACTATCTGAGATGGATCATTTTGCTTTAAAGTTCCAGTAAGGAGAAACAGAACTGTAGATAGAAATGACATAACTTAGGAGGACACAGTCACCAGGGTGAAACCTGCGCCTTACAACTCCACGTGAATTCCTCTGTTGGCCAAACACGTGGATCACACCTCTCCAGCCTCTTATTCGGCAGACATTTCCTGTTAATTATACTCATAATCAGCTGATGAAAGGGTAGTTCAGGAGGAGCAGCGATCACACAGATTGAGTCCATGGAGTTACTAAATGACAGAAAGGCACTTTTCTCAAACTTTAGAGTGACCTTCCTGGAACATAGTGGGATTGTTTTGGGGGTGGGAGTGGGGGGGGGGAGTACAGAATTGACACATCCAAATGGATGTCATTAAAAAAAATGATGTAAATCCCTTTTGGGTATTGCTACAGAGTCTATAGCATATTTTTAAATATCACTATTGGTGAAAAATTCATTATGCTTTGAGGTAGATTTAGTAATCAGAAGTCATTCTGAGTTCACTTTTTTGAAAAGGGTGAGTCACCAAGGGCAGCCCCCTTTCTTTAGAAAATTGCTCAGAAATCGTAAGAACATTCTGAGAAAAAAAAAATCCAAAATATATAGGTTAGCAAAAGAAAAGGAAGGAAAGAAGGTAGGAAGGAAGGAAAAGAATTGCCAAAGAGTCAATTCCGACTCATAGGGACCCTATAGGACAGAGTGGAACTGCCCCATAGGGTTTCCAAGGAGTGGCTGAATTCAAACTGCCGACCTTTCGGTTGGCAGCCGAGCTCTTAACCACTGTGCCACCAGGGCTCCAGAGTCAGTATATAGTGCCAAAATGAAGAATACTATGAACGAAAACTATCATATATCTAAAATCTCAGAATATTTTTTAAAGTCTGATTTCTTTATAATCAGCTTATACCAAAAAACCCAAACCCGTTGTTGTCAAGTCAATTCCGACTCATAGTGACCCTATAGGACAGAGTACAACTGCCCCATAGAGTTTCCAAGGAGCACCTGGTGGATTCAAACTGCCGACCTTTTGGTTAGTAGCCATAATGGTTAACCAGTACGTCACCAGGGATTCCAATCAGATTTATAGGCTGCATTTAAAAATGTTTCTCCAGTCATTTAGCCACCATCATACACCTGTGTTGGTTGCCAACCAAAGACTTTCCTCACTTCTAGCAGGCTAGGGAGTTCCTTAAGGAAAATGCAGTCTTAAGAGAGAGTAGAAGTCTTATCAGAAGTGGGATGCGAGACCACAGTCCCTTCTAGGATTAAAGAGTATGAATTGAATAGAGCCACCTAATGGATGAGGCCCTGCTTATAGAAATATGAATGTCTATTCTGAAGAGCTTACCCCTTTGGATAAACCAGGTTGCCATTCTTGGAAGCCTTCTTCTTGTGAGCGTACTGTACTTAGATGTCCTCCAAAGAATTTATTTGGTCAATCCTGATACTATCATGCCGGTAATTAAAAGTGTCTCTGTCTTGCTACCCCTTGAGTAAGTTAAAGATGAGTAAGTCAAAACAAATATTCAACCAAAATATCTCCGTGGTTTTCAGGGATATTATTTTTTATTTCTCTTCAAACCTTGGGGATTTGAAGCCATGTGTACATGAACAAAGAGATAGCAAAAATCCAATGAAAGTAACTTTTATTGTTTTAAGAGAGATGATTAAAAACAATAGTTATGACTTTTGTCGTGTGGAAGAGAAACAAAAAATACTATTCTCAGAGCAAGTATGATTTTGTTTAAATTTCACTGGTGTAGAAATGAGTAGTTTTCAACTGAACGTTAAATTCTAGGGAACTTGCAAATGGTGGCCCCATTTATATCCCAGAGGGTACCTCTTGCAACAGTAAAACTTTCTTAAGATGTTTTAAGAAATACTCAATCACTAGGTACTTTTGAACAAGACCAATCCAACTAAGACCCCCCCCCCCAAAGAAAAAAACCATTTATCCTGGATGCTGATGACCAAAACCATAGTAAAATCTTGTAACTGAGAATCAAAGCCTTTCTATTGTTGCTTCTGGAGCTTTTACGAGCCTAGCCAATCTCGTTGGGCCATTTTTATAATCGGCCCTGACTTACTTATTTCCAGAGAAATAAATAGCACCCCTGAATTAGGACACATTACATTGGGAAAATGTCACAGTTGGAAACATCTTAAGACAGTTTTATCATGTTTCTGAATTTACCAAATCAAAGGGAAATAGCGTTTTCCATTTTTCTTTTCTTTTTCAATACTGTAGCATTAAAAAGAATTTGTCAAGACAGCATTTATTTTAATTGATAAGTTCTCGTACCTTCTGTATGTCGAAAGCCCAGTTTGGTGATGAAATTTTTATCCATAGCACGATGCCATATAACATGCTCTTCTGAAATGACAGCATTTCTTTTCTTTCTTTTTTTTAATTTTTATTTTTATATTATGCTGTAATGTGAAAGGCAAGGTTCTTAGGAGATCCTAGCTAGTTGCAGTATACTCTTTTCCCTAATAGATAGTCTAATTTTACTTTTAATGTAATCTCCTTTTTACACAGGATTCCACATCCACACAGTTTGAAACGTCCTAGTGTTAGCAACATATCCTGACATGAGTTTTTGGTAACACGAAGTATTAATATCCCTGTGCAACAGCTTGTTCATGGTCCATATTCTGACAGAGCCATGATTTTGTTTAAGAGACCCCCCGCATGCCTGTTTCATCATCTTTCTAAGCGCTCTAAGCCCGAGGTACATCAATACATTTCCTTGCAACGTCCATTCCAACGCAGCACCCTGCCCTCCCCTCATCTGTACACGGTGAACCAATTGGCAGAGAGCACATTTCCCCCTGAGCGAGCAGTATTGTGAATTTTATCTTCTCTTCCAGAAATCAGTTCGTCTTCGTTGCAGCAGATGAAATTTCTTGTAACACCTCTGCAGGTAACAAACATTGCTACTTCTTGATGCATCCATCCAATCTCAGTATCCTTTTTTTTTTTTCTTTTTCCACATGCTGCAGTTGGTCACTCGAGTTTAAAAAAAAAAAATAGGAAAATAAAAAAATACAAAAAATACAAAGTCCGTATGTCTTTGGAGTATAGCTGAAGTCTTTAGGCTCTGCTGTATAAAGAGACGTTAGGCATTTGGCTGAGTTGGATATTTTATTTCCAGTTTTAATAATACATGATCCAGAAAAATAAGACTATGTTGAATGGAGCCATGATAAAATCGTGTGGTATGATCGGCGCTCCTTTCCTAAAATACTGAACAGAGGAGCTTAGGGGCACAGATGTGTGACTTCCATGGTGTTTTTGTTTGTTTTTTGATGTAGTATGTCTGGGCCATGCAGATTTATATGTGAATTATTGGGGATCCCTCTGGAATGGCTGTTATGTATCATAGGCCCTGAAAGACTGAATCTATAAAGCTAGAGGCATTAGGATATATAATGATCTCAGTTTTATACAAAGGGGATCTTCACTCTATTAGCTAAAGATCCTCTATTTCTTTTTTTTTTTTTTTTTTGAAACATCAAGTAGCAGGACTTAGAGAGACAGAGCCTTTGTTTTTGGAATCAGGGCATTGGCAAACAGTAATTGCACAGTTGCATGCTGTATCCATCAAAATAATGCCCGCCTGTTTGCTTTGATGTGGTTCAGAACAGTTAAATTTGGACTTTCATTAGCATGGAATTACTCGCCTAAATGCCAAGATAGGTGAGTGCCTTAACTAACACCAGATTTCCTTTTTTTTTTTTTTTAATTTTTAAAGCCTAAACTATTGACAAACAGAATTACTAGGAAATCTTACCAAATGTGTTGTTGTCAGCCAACAGGGGTGGACTTTATCACCCACCCATATGTAGTTGAGTTGGCCAAGAACTTCAAAAACATCCATTAAACTGAGCCTTACAAATAAACGCTTACCTGTTACCAGTCACATTTTATCAATGAAACAGTAAAGAAAGGTTTATTTGCTAATACTTCACCTCCTGCTTAGTCTTTGAAGAAGATGAAGGATAGGAAGGAAAAGAGCTAGGAACTTCCTCCCAGCTCTCTCTGTTCTGAAAGGCAGGGCCACAGACAACCCTGTGCCAGGTGTATTGATAAAGTCCGTCTCGGTATATTTAAACGTTTTCAAAGTCTTAACTCATGACCTCAAGAGGTACGCATGCCTATATTTGAAAGCAACAGCTTCATTCCATTTCTGTAAAACCCCTTTGGTAATGCTTCTGCCATTCTCTCCCCTCAACGCCTAACCTCAAACATCTCTGCTTCTCCCTGTCAAAGGTAGCAAAATCCTTAACACTCCACTAACATAGTAGAAGATCAATAGTCGCATTGCTGGGGGTGACAGTAGAATGTTCATGAGATGCAAGAGATGTTTAACATTTTCAGAGCCTTAAGCATGCAGCTAAAAGGGAAATTCCTTGGGATGGGAGAAGGGGTGGGGAGGAATATTGGTTTGAAATGTTAACAGATATCCTTCACAGTACGTGGTATTCCAGAGCCTTCGCCTTTCCTGTTCAACTGTACGCATGTTCTACTGGGTGTGAGGTTGTTCTTTGACATCATAGATTAAGCATTGAAAAGTAACAATACATAAGAGGTAGAGATTGGCTTCGTCACGGAGTTAACAAACCCTCCCTTCAAAGCAGTGGTTCGCACATAATATACCTAAAGGAAGCCCCAGATCATTAAAGTTTGCATGAGTATGTTGAGTGCTTTTACCTACCTCATCTAATTCATAATGGCTGCTCAGTAAATTTTTAATGAATTGCTATTGATCAGATTTCAAATTGAGAGAGCTACCCCTACCCCTTTGATGGCCATATTAATGATATGCTATCTGGTTCATAAGGTTCAAGTTGAACTCTGGCTTTTTTAATCAAGCATGAAAAAGGAGACACCCTTATTAATCAAATGTCAGATTACCACCCAGCCAGCCCACCATACTCACTGAGTGAAAATGAAAAATCAAGACTTATCTGTCAACAAAGGTTGTGACTTATTTCAATGAAAGTCTTCCAGGGCCTTGTCTCCTACATGCTGGGAAGGCTCAGTGTACCCACATTCTGAACAGAGTAACTGTCCTGAGCTCCCTTTTCTGGACACAGACCAACACTCCTTAAGGGCAGGTCTATTGTATCCTGGTATCAAATTTCAGAGTTTGACTAAAGTCAACTTCATCTCTTTCTAAATCGTGAAAGAAATCAAAAGGATGCCAAAAAGCTCAGTTTGAGGGGCCTGGTGGGTTTTATACCTGAAATTCTTAACCAGAGGTGTTATTTTCACACAGCTGCCAATAGAGGCAGAGATGGCTAGACACAGTTTTGTCTCTGGCTTAGGACAGAGACGGTGAGATAAAGGTCATCAGGCAGTAGCAACAGTAGCACCTGAAGATTCTTCTCCCAGTTTCCAAAGGCAGGTGATGATTTTTACATGGGTCTGTTGTAGAGGATGCCACAACGTCTGTTTGGCTTTTGCTAGCCATGTAGAATAAATCTTTTTCATTAACATTTGTGGTTTTGAGACTGTACTTACAAGGACATTTATTTTCTTATTCGGCACCAACAATGGTATTAGTTTTGTTTTGGTTTGGTTGCTCCTGAAGAACTTGAGTTTATTTGGTATTACTGGAGTCTGATGTTTTAACAACAGGACAGAACATCACCCAGTGCTATTGCAACCCCAACTCATCTCATCCTCCCTATTGCCTTATGTGGTTGGTATGCCCCAGGATCATTTTCATTCATGGATGAAGAAACTAACTCAGAGAGGAAAAGAACGTTCTGAGATTACTTAGCAAGGAAGTGGCAAAGGCAGGACTAGACTCTAGGAGATCTGGCCCTGAAGAATCCTTAGCTAGTCTTCAACCCTGCTTCTCTGCAATGATATTAAAGATCCTGTGAGAGATACAAACAGAGAGCTACCTTGGTGGTCCTGCAGATGGATGAAACTATAGCTGGGGTGCCATGATGATTTCAAAGCAAGATGGGACATTCACAGGGATTTTGCTACAGTAGTAGTCAGGACACAAAGAAGTTGAAACAGACTTTCTAAGAGGAGGGTGGCCTTGAGCTCAGCATCAAAGAGTGAGTGTAGCTCTTTTACCGGGGGAGCCATTCCCGGGTGAAGGAACTTCGTGGCCAAAAGCAAGTCTTATTGTGTCTTCTCAGCTCCCAGGCAGTGGCTGCTACTCTGATGAATCCAGAATCAAGGTTCTCATTCCAGACGTGCTCTGTTGGGATTCAGTAGAGGAGGAGGTTTTGAACTGCATGGAGAGGGCACAGAAAGGATGATGCAGTCTGATTTGCCATGGGCAATATAACCAATTCTTGTAGATTCTACAGGTGGAGGATTTATCAGTGTACTTGTGTACAAAGAGTTCAGATGATAGGAACCTATGTGGATAAGCAAATTCTGTGGCTTCCTATTTAGAAGTCAAAGAACCTTTAAGATGCTTTCCCTTCTGCTTTGGGGACAGGGGAGGATCTCGAGTGTGCTGAGTGATTTATGAAGACAATCACTCAAGGAAGTGAACAGGAATAGAATTCAGAAACATCAGAGCCAAGTAGAGATAACTCCATGTTATTCATCTTGGATAATTTCTTTACTTTCTTCTTGGAGGTTTTGCTGTATTTTGAGCTGTTGTCTTGATGTTTGAAGTTAAGGGACTGGTCCAGTTCCCCTAATTTAAGTACCTTGAGAAGCTTTTAGAATAGGAGCACTTGGCTACCCCTGTGGTCTATGAATGCATAAGTCATTGCCCAGCTAAAACTAGGAGAAACCTACATTCGTCATGTTTTCTTAGTGAATGTAGCTCTTCACCCCCGTATTGGGGATGTCCAAGTAGTTCTCATCTTAATACTCTCCAGAAGATTTTTCCTGCTGCAGCAAATCAAGGTGTTTAGCTCCAGGTTCTGCGAACCCTCTCATTTCTTCCTGATTGGCACTAGTAGTCTCTCTGTTTCTCTCAAGGTGAAGGGAGATGAACCCCTTATCTTCCTTGTCTTGAACAACTCCTGGAGGAGTTGCCCAGAATCTTGGCCATTATTATCACAGTAGCTTCTGAAACTGGTGCACACTCTACTATCCCAAACCTTAAAGCCTGAAAATTGTGGAGTTCTGTGATTTGGAAATGGAGAGTTTGTCTTTTGGGTTGCCTGGTAGATGCTTGTTTGCATGAAGACAAGAGTCTATTTATCACAGAGATGTTCTGAGATGCCCCCAGCCAGGAAATGGAAATAGCTTCTATGGTCTTCCATGGTCTGGCTCTATCCCTTTGTCCTTTGACGGGAGTAGGGCTTTTGTCTCCATCCTGAGCTCCCAGGAACCCCACAAGCCAAGGGTAGGGTCAGATTCTGCCACCCCAGAATTGCTAAAGGATTTGTCAGAATCCTTCTGTCTCTTTCAGTATATCATGGGATCTTATTCTGTTTTGCTGCATTTTTTATTTAGCGACATTTTGGTTAGCAGCTGAGCTCTTAACCACTGTGCCACTCGGTAGTGATAAGTATGGAATGGGTGGAGTTGGAAAGCATAAATGTCCCTAACACTTTAGTTTTGAAAACAGATCGATTTGCAGTTGGATCGGGGAAAGAACTATTGCAATGGATAGAGCAGAGCTGAGGGATCAGAAGCCTTTGTCCCACCCCATACCCCCACCCCCAACTAGGTCTCTTTTCTCCTCTTCCTGGCTGGTATTGACTATGGCTCCTTCCCAGCCACTGAGAATTGCTGAGAGCAGAACATTTTACCCAAGCACAAAGAATATCTGGTCTGGAACATGCGCTCTGGACAGGAGGAAATCAACTATCAATGAATTATACCAGCCACAATGGAAACCAAAGGGTTTTCTTTAAAGGGTCACTTGGTTTTCATTTGGGAAAGTTTCCAAAACACAAAAAAAAAAAAAAAAAAAAGTGGATGATGAAATAG